TCAGATTTCTGTGTGATTAGTTCTAATAGGTGATCAACGTACGAGCGAGTGTAAAATGCGCACATAGACAGAAAGTCCATTGGTGAACAGTCGGGGATCGAACCTACGACTCGGGATAAGAAACGCACGTTGAAGCCACTAGGCCAACTATTCCATGTTAAAAGTACCGTAGATTATTTCAGTAAAGCTCATCCGACTGCAATACTTCCGTCGTAGTTGTAGGCATTAGGATAGCAAGACGCCCAGTTTCTATATAGAAACTACGAAGTGTATTTTGTACGTGTCCAATGCTGAATGTAGAGGTCTGGAAACTACTGTGCAACAAAGGAATTATTTCCCAAATTATCTTCTAAATAAAATGCAAAAAAAAATCAATCGAGTTTTCCAATAAATAATTTTTTGTGTAACCAAGTATATATTATTTATTTTATTATTAAAGTCTCTATTATGGGGGCCCCTCTTTTGTTGAGGCTCTGAGGCAGTAGCCCCGGTTGCCCTCCTCTAAATCCGGGGCTGTACGTTATAAGTTTATATCTGGTAATACTATAGAAAAATCTTCACCACGAATCTTCTTTAATTAAATAAAAAATATTATTCTTCCACGACCAGAATTAAGTTACACTGGACTAAATAACGTAAACCACAGAAGAGAAATAATAAAAATGTCATGTTATAAACGTTTTAATAAATAAATTAATAACGTCATAAATATTTCTGCCATCTTATTCTGTTCTCGTAAATCACCATCTTCAAAGCTAACAAACATCACAATAATAATCCAATTTGAATTCCAAGTGTCGACTAATATAACGCCTCGATGTATAATTGTTCCGATTAATCTCGTAAACGGGACAACGTAGGTTAATTATAATTTTAAAATATTCTTTGTGATTTGTTTACATAGCTTAGCAATAGTTTTGTACGTACAAATACATCTAGAATTATGTTCATTTCAAACAGGAACTCATAGATTTGTGAATTCTTTTCCGATTAATGATAGTTCTTGGGAAAGGTGCAATGTTAAGTCCAAGATGTTTGCTTCTCTTTAGGTTAAGTACGAGTTTGTCGTCATAAAATTCCTTTTCGCGAAATCAAGTACTAATAATATTACGATTAATGATCCAATAAAGTTTAAATCGAATCTAAATTACAATAAACGTGATGTATTTCAATGTTTAAATAGGTTAAGCAAGTCGTTAGAAACACGAGCGCCTTTGAATCCCCCAGAGAGCGATAAAGCGGACACATTTCTTCGTCTTATTTATTATTAATTTTTTAATAGGCAAAACAATATGCATAAAATTGAAAGTTCAAACCCAAGACACAGCTAATCGTGTGTACCATAGGTGTTTTTTTAGTGTTTGTTTAATTAGATGATTTCGTAAAATTTTAATATGGGTTCCATTTCGTAATGTTATTCCTATTTTTCATCTACACATCTAAAAATCTAAATTTAAAACGCCGCATAAAGTGGTCGAGCAAATGTTCCGTAAAGAATGTTAATAGGCAATTTGTTAAAGTTTTCATGTGTTTATAAAAAATCAGGAAGTGTTTTTAGAAGATTGTTACAACGTAGGTACTTGTACTAGACACGGGAGGTACTGATCACGTATAAGTTTATTCAAAACTCAAATATAAGATACGAATCTTAGTCGAAATTTGAATTTCGAACGTCAAACGATTTCCTTTAATAAGTAAATTTAATTCAAAACTTCATAGGTAAATGTTTTAGTTAATTTATGGTCTGCTTTTAATTCCCAGTTAGGTATTACTCTCATAAGTAAACGCTCAAACATTTAAATGGCAATAACCAAAATTTTAATTGACTTGTCTGATTCCGTCATCGTGTCGTAAAACTTTTTAATTAACCCCTTCAGTGGAACGAACTTTATGCTCTGGCGTGTTTATTAATTATTTAAAACTTTGTTTTTCAGGATTTTTCATCTTTCGGATGCTAATTATGAACGCAGAGCCCTAAAGTTATTTTGCAGTTGATTGAATTAAGTACGCCTGTGAAATATCACAGAAAAGCAGGCTCCAAATGATTAATAACAATCAAACTTTCGAGTATTTTTTAAATCTTAAAGCTCAATTGTTTGAATGAGCGACTACATAAACCCGACAATTTCATCAACATCGGTCCAGCCGCTTAGGATTTTAATTAAAAACACACACACAGAAAATTTATGTATAAAGATATTATTCAAGTATGGAATAGTTCATATTTATTATAAATTATAAACCCAGGGGACAAACGGGCACTCACCTGATGTTAAGTGATACCGCCGCCCATGGACACTCACATTGCCATAAGTCTCGCAAGTGCGTGTCCGGCCTTTTAAGAATTGGTACGCTCTTTTTTTCTTGAAGGACCCTAATCGAATTGGTTAGGAATTATTTTAATACGCATCCGCATATCGACCTGCAACCGTACTTTGTAAGCGAGCTCGACTTTTTTGTATGCAAGTTGTAGCACTCTGAATATCCGTAGGATTCCAACCATAGAATCAAAGATACAGGGCGTTGGAACCTATTGGAAGTTACAGATTTTGATCTCTCATAGACCATAGTATACGTCATGAAAGAACATTTAAGTTTTTTTTACGTTTAGGAATATTTAGAACCTTTTGGATTAATTCTGTAAAAATAGAAGGGATCTATGTTTTGGACCCGTGGTTCTGTACACCATGGTAACAATGATTGCCATGGCGGAACCAAACACTGATTACTGGCGCGACGGAATTTTGTGGTTTTTGTCACAGTTTAAACGCATGTACAGGCTGTTTCAATGTCGTCAACCATAAATATTTATAGTTTATAGTTGGATTATACGCCTAATAAGTTTTACTTTTACAACATAGCATAGAAAATAGTTATCTCCATTTCTACACACATAAAAACAACATTTTTCACATCCATATTTTGGATGTGTTTGATAGGAAAAAGAAGTTAGCGATAAAAATTAATAGATATATGTATACTGACTTTTGAAGACCATTAAATATACCTATCTTAAAAATAATGATGGCTGTTGGGTTCAAGTGCACAGGCGCTAATTAAAGATTTGAGCTAGTGCCTGGTACCGGTGACCCCAGAGCTGGTGCTTTCCTCGCTCAACGAATAAATATCGCAATACAGCGAGGAAATGCTGCCAGCGTTAAAGGTACCTACACTGCAAGAGGGACCAAACTTTTTATTAATTTTTAATCATTTTTATTATTATTAGATTAAGAAAATTGTAAATACTGTATATTAGATTATTAAATTAAATGCTAAATAAACTATGATTTTCATACATCGTGTTGCTTCATACGTCTTTTCATTAACATTGTAATACTTTATATCCTTGCCATGTAAACATTACATAGCCCAAATGTTTTGTTTATGTAAAGTGTTCTAACTGAATTTGATGCGAAATGATACAAATTTTTGATTAAAAGATACAGGAGCTTAGTTTTTACCCATGAAAAAACAGCTAATGAGAGAAACGCGCGTTATGACATTGATGGGACTATATTGTTTTACCACACTAATATCTTATTTTATCTATCTAGTATTAACTAAATAAATCCACTACACTCTTTATAGGTCTGGGCCTCAGATTTCTGTAGGTATCTGTTTCATGATATGTCAATCTAATAGGCAAGTAGGTGATCAGCCTCCTGTGCCCGATACGGGCCATGGACTTTTTGGGTCTAAGGCAAGCCGGTTTCTTCTCGATGTTTTCCTTCAGAAAATATTGTTGCATAGCCGGACCGAACTTACGACCTGAGGGATGAAAGTCGCATGCTGAAGCCACTAGGCTAACACTGGTCTATCTAGTAATAACTATTAATAATATTTATAAGGAAGATTTATACGCCATATAAAACCAACTTAACCACACCTTAGAATAGTGAACACCATGTATATGAGGCAATTTGTATATGGCTTTCATGGAGTAGCATTCTAATAAAAGGCCTATTAATCTCTAACATCTATTAAACTAAAAATAAACCTTAAATGGTCCATGATTGACAGCCTCCGTTGCAAAAAACATTCTCCATAAAAACTCGATAAACTACGAATGATTAGGAATCGCCCGGGATTCGATACAGTTTCTATTTATTTTTAATTGACGATTCTGAATCGAATGGCAATCGAATAGTAAAATGTTTTAGAATTGTTTAAATAAAAATAGTTTCTTTTAAATGTTATTTTAGTGATGTTATATTTCTATAAAGGACTTTACGTGATATCTGAGTATTGTAACTGGTAGATTTCTTATTGCGAAATAAGTTTGTTCGACATACAATATGTTAGATACTATCATTCAATGTAGATATATATTCATTTAAATATATTAACAAAGTCCATTAAGCTGAAGTAGACCTACCTAAATAACCACATTTGTAAATAAAATGACATGAGACAATATAGTTATTAATAACTACTAGCTATATTCATTACTAACTGAAATGTAGAAAATATCAAAACACTGCTTTTATAAGTATTGTGAACTAAACAGTTCTACCTGTTAATCCTATTTAAATTTGACAAAACGGTGAATTATCTTTTCCTCCGAAAAATAACGTTATAAAAATGATTCAGTAATAACAAGCGACTCATTATGTAAATCCGAAGTGGGCCACAAATTCCCATCGCAAACTAAAACGCAAAATGAGCAAGTTTAATACGGCCGCTCTCAGGTAACTAAGAGTATTTATAGACCTCTACAAACACGGTAATGGTGTAAACGCTCGCCGCAGCCGAAAGCCATTAAGTTCAAAACTCAATAAACATCATTGTTTCAGCGCTTAACTAGGAAAATAACCCGCGCCGGCCGCCCGGGGCCGCTTTGGCCCGATCTTCACTTCGCGGCGACCTCTAATATTCATAAGTCAATTTCCTGCCCCATTAATACGTAACGAAGTAGCGCAAATGGCCTTATCGCTTGTGCGCGATTACTTGCTCGCCGCTCTCTTACATAATTCAACGTATTAAACGAAATTGTTTAAACCTTATTGCTCGATTACGTTCCTCCACCCCGGGCACGCCTCGTTTCCTTCGGCCAATCGCAGCTCGGCTTCGCTTCTCCCTCCAGCGGAGATCTTCCCTTTCTTTCCTGTCCCCGCCCGGCGTTTTCCCGTTTCCACCGTGCAATGACGTTTCGCTTTTAGGCGCAGATGGACGTATGGTGATTGCGCGTGCGTGGATTTCAGTGCGAGCCGAATCGCGTAATGAATAAATAATAGAGACATTGCTTTTTGAGTAGTGCTGTGCTGTGTATGACTGGCGTTTTAGATGGGGTTTGATAAATAGACGTTGCTATGACGATGCTTGCTATGGCTCGAGGTTCTGACGAGAGAAGAGAAGACGATATAGAGGCAGAAGGAGAGGCGAACGGCGAGGTGGATGTGGTTGGGGTCGAAGAGGCCGCACCGGTGGATCTTACAAGACGTTTGGGATTAACAAGGCCTCCCGAAAGGCCCGCAATAGCTTTTTCTGTAGATAATATATTGGATCCCACCAAGTTCACGGGTCGATCTGAGGTTCCTTTGAGATACGACGAGACTTATTGGAGACCGCATTATGATAGGGACGACAGTGATTCTGGTTAGTACTAACATTCTATTTTAAAACATAACCATTTATGAGTTATCATTACAATCAAATATTATTTACAATTTTCTTAACCTTAATAAAGATAATTAAAAATGTATAAAAAATAAAATTTAAATAGTTTGGTCCCTTTAGTAGTGTACCTTTAACGCTGGCAGCATTACCTCGCTGTATTGCGATACTTTTTCGATGAGCGAGGAAAGCACCAGTTCAGGGGTCACCGGTACTAGGCGCCAACCTAAGTATTTAATCAGCGCCGGTGCACTTGAACCCCACGGCTCAAGAGTCTCAACTCCAAAGGGAACAAAATTGAAGTTGGAGGAAAGTTATATTTGAGCCGTTTTTTATTTTTTGAAACGTTGATATCATGATTACATAAATAAAATAAGGTATGAACATTTTTCTTCAGGTGCACATTGTGCACTAATATTTTATATACGTCCACTCATGTTACTTTATATACTAAACTACTTCTACTTCTACAGTAAAAATTAATCAAATAAATGTTATTAATTTACACCGACAAACAATTTTCTTGAATCATTGCAATGAGATATTGTTTTTTTTAGGCATTACAGAAAAAAGATACGATTTTTTATTAGAATAATTAAAACATAAATCGTTTTTATTATAAAAGCTACTTATGGGTAAGGCACAGACCATAAACAACGAAAACATCAACATAAACGAAAACAATCGATTAAAGTAAAAGAAGTATATATTCCTATAATTATTTTATTAATTATACATAAAAATTTAACTTATAACACATATTATACCGAAATTATTTATGTTTATTCCAAGATAAATAACAGATTTTGTGACAAACCCGAGCTCATAACGAAAACATAGATATATAGCAAATAATTAAATGAAAATGATTTTAACGCAAACACATAGTTGTTTTAACTTCTCAACAGATTCTAAATCGTACCAAATCTTAAAAGGCCGGCATCGCTCGCGAGTACTCTGGCATTAAGAGTGCGTGCGGCGATGAGCTTAACATCCGATCAGCCTCCTGTCCGTTTGCCCTCGTTTATTTTGCATGATTCAAATTATAATTTTAATACTTTATCCACACCTCAATAAAAGATAATAAAAATACAGCAGACATTTAAAATATTAATCGGTCATTTCAAGATTGCCTGCGATTTCTGTAGGTATCTGTTTCATTTAGTGCCTGACATAGCTGACGTGGTTTTCTCACAATGTTTTATATGCCTAATGTTAAATGCGTACATAGAAAGAAAATAGTGCACTGGGCACAGCCGTGATTTGTTTTAGTAAGCTAGTAGCTCTTTTGTCACTCGGATAACATAAAAACTTATTCCGTTTTTAAAATGTTGAGTGAGCCTAGCTATTTCTATTTCGTAAGGACTATTTCGTCTCTTACTGTCAAATTGTGTTGACACTGACATAACAAGTATTTTAGTTTAAAAAAACTTTACCATTACACTGAATTATTTATAAAGATATGTGATCGCTTTCTATTTATGTACCTAAATGTTGGCCTGTCACTAGGTTTGATTAAGAATTAAGATTGGAAAATCATCAAAAGAAGAAATCCAAACAAGGTTAATCTCATGATACATCAAGAAAAGCGTACCAATTCTTAAAAGGCTGGCAACGCACTCTCGCGCCTTCTGGTAATGAGAGTGTCCATGGGCGGCGTGAGCTTAACATTAATATACTTTTTACGCATAAATAGATTTTATTTTTACAAGATATATAAGTCTCGTACGGCTAGGTGTGTGACAAGATTTTAATTTAAAAGTCGGGTTTTTATTCAATAGCGATTATAAGAAATAGAATAATACATTATAACTCACGGTTGGATGACATATGTAGTATTTTACTTCATATAAATAATACTTAGAAGACTTTAGAAAGTAAATAATTATTTACCTGTTAATGCCAAGGGCACGCTCTTAAAGGAACACTCGATTGCTGTAAACAATACGAATTAAACCAATTAATTTAAGAATTTTGTCATTTCATGTACGTGCCTGTCTGGCACTAATAAAAAAATAATAATTTGGTTTTAACATTCAATAACATTCATATTATTATAGTATGAATATAATATTTATGAAATATAATAATAATAAATATTATGCTACAAAAATATTATAGCTATCATCAGTAGATGAGAACAAGTACGTTTAAATGTGATTATTGGATTGGAAAAATATTGATTTATCTATTTCTTATAGGAGTTTTAGTAACAATTATTCTTATTTTTCTATTTAGTGTAGGTTACTATATATACTTTCTTCCAAAACTTCTTTACTTACACTGTTAATTTTTATTATTAGATACTATGTTATTTCAATATTATTATTAGTACATTCTTTTTTCCTTTTCTGTTGTGATCTCTGGCAGAATAACCAGCGCTGTGAAACACGTCTGCTCCACAGCATCATACACAATAATACACACTTAAAATGAAACTTATTCCTTTTTTTCCCAAAAATTTTCTTTTTTGATTATTATTATATTGTGTGTTTCTGTGCGTGTTTGTTGTTATAAATGTTATGTCTGTCTGTCTTTGAAAATGTCATATATAGCGTAGCGTACCTGGCACAATTAAAATTAATGGTCCCGCCATTAATTTTAATTATGCTGGTATAAAAACTCTACGTGGCCAGCCGGTAATTTCTCCGGTACATCCTCTACTGCGTTTACTGACTTGAGATTACCAGTGCAAGATCTTCTTGTTCTTCCTAATTATATTAATATAAATCGCATATTGGGTGTATGATCTTAATTAAAATTAGGAATGTATTTGAATTCTCATCATAATTTCTATTGCTGTCAATCTCCATTTAAAGCTTGGGTAGGAAGAATAAAAACATACCTACATAATATTTAAACAACGATTAAACGTAATTTTAAATTTCGAATTTTATCACACAGTAGCAGTCAATTTGGACAAATTAATTGCTTATTGTGATTTTGATTAGCTACGTGACATTACTAACAAGGTGTCGAATTGTTTAAAACTATTTCCATCCCTATTAAAACAGTAATAAGAGCTAAATTATCGTGTATGAGGTTGAACAGTCTTATCTCAATTATGGACGTGATGAAAGGCTTTTTGTGCCGGAACCGAAAAGTAATTTATGTGTTTATTTAACGTGTAATAATGAGTTGTGAATTGAAATATCAGTTCCGACTTGCGATTGGGTTTTGGTTCACATATTATTAACGATTGCATTTTTGCATTGCTTTAATATAGCTTTTAATAAGATACTATTAGAAATATACCTTAGGTATATTTCTAATGTAGTGACTGGTGCGGTGAAAACGAAGTCGTAAAAAATACTTTTACTAAAAGTACCTAATTTAAGATTTGTATTGCATTGTTTTAAGTAAAAGTATAGAAATAACTATTATACTTAAGATACTAAAATTATTACCTGGATATGCATTTGTCTGTTACTGATTCAAATGACAGCTATTTTTAAAAATTAATCGCGAAATATGGTGTAAAATGTAAATAAATATAATGATATTGTTTATTTACTATACAGGTCAAACAATAAGCATTAAAAGTTCTAAAACAATAAATAATAAACAAAGCTAAACACATTTACAAAAACATATTTTTAGTTTTGTTTAAAATGTAACAAACATGCCATAATATAAAAGAAGGCTTACGTAATGTTAAGTGACTCCGCCGCTCATCGACACACTGCCAGAGGGCTCCCAAATGCTGGCTTTTTAACACAATAATGTCATATACTATGAGTTTTCAGATTAATTAAACGTATATTAATCGCCAAAATATAGGAAAAATTTAATTATCAATATAAATGGATAACTCAGTGCAAAACCTAGAATAGGTACGTATAGTAATTCATTCAGTCTAAAATTCGTAATAGGTATAAGCGCGTTTAACCAATTCAAAAGGGCATTAAAAATACATATCTGAATGAGCCTAGTAGACTAAATTTAGGACGGCTGATGGCAACGTGTATCGTTCGTATATATATATAGATACATATTAAGTTTCTCATGTAAATAAAAAAAAATTGTAATGAGAAACGCGTATTCTCTTTTGCTCTATTACAACTTATTTATTAGTACAGAATGATATTAAAACTGGGGCAAATGTTATAAGAACTAGTTCATTTTAATCTATAGTTATAATGCTTTTGTGAATGCGTGAAATAAACACGCAAACCAGTGTTTACGTGCATATTAATAGATAATTATAAACACATTCTTTATTAACAATCACCTCGGTAATGTGTAACTACCTAGTACCTATATGAACGGCCAGCAAGAAAGGTCCAAAATCCAAATACGCTTTCATACGCAGATTCCCATGGTATTTTTGCAGTAAGACCGCCCAATCACATTCTTTATCTTTATACCTGTTTTGTCTTATTAGGTACTAGCCGTTTCGCGCCCGATTTGCTGGACGAATTAAAATAAATTTTATGTTTCATTATTTTATTTTTTTTCATATTTTTATTATTCTTCTTTTTAACTTCCCGCTAAGAAAATTGAAATATTTCGAAAATCGAGTTTTTAACAGATGTTGACGTTTAGAGGTTCTAGGAAGCCTCCTCGAATGTTTCCGCGGTGAAGTCCGTATGGATAAATTTTCATAAAAGTAAAACAGCAATAAAAAAGGAGATGAATTTTAATAAAAGTAAAACCATCTAGAAAAAATTTCGCATCGAATGGTGGTAGTTTCATGTCGATACGATCAGTGGTTTAGGCGTGAAGGAGCCTCAAACCATTTTTCTTTTATATATATAGATTAAATAAAGTATTTTTATTATTTGTATATGGTTAATTACAAATACAATAATAAATAACATTATTATCATTTGGATAAAAAATATATTTTGCTGTTATCGATTTGAATAATAAAATTTAAATCTTTTATAGATAAACTTTATTTTATATTAATTTATTTTACTACCAAGCTCACATGGTCATGCATATATACGCCATTCATATAACATATTTAAGCCTTGATTATAAT